CCCCCCCGTCAAGCGTGTATAATGCGAGGATATCAATAAAGCGAGTCTAATCGATTCGTCCTATTATAATAATAATAAATTGTCAATGCAAGATATATCACTGCAGAAGCTCGATCAGTATCTGAACAAAGCAAATCGATTCATGCATTAAAATAGGTTGCTTCAAAATTGTTTAGGAAAATAACCGGTTTATTGTTGAACTCGACTTCGTAATTTTCAACGATATCCCGCCAACGACTGATGCCTTCTTTGCCTGTTCTTTTTTGGTCTGATGGAATCCGTAGGATTCGCGAATATGAATATACAAACAACAACAGTATTAGCATAAAGTAAACATCCATTTATTTTTGTGTAATTAAATTTCTAATTTGCGAAACAAAATCGAGAATCGGTTCTGCAATGCGCTCACTGTTCTTTTTGTCTCTCTTCTTTTTCACCTCTTTTACTTTCAAAATATACCGGCATCACGCGTTACGTTAGCGACCCCAAATGTCGAATACGAAAAAAAGTTCAAAAAGGAAAAAGAAATATGTCACGTGTATTCTTATTTAGCGACTTTAACATATTTTAATTTTGAATAGAGATTTCTCTTGTGTCTATGTATAAGTCAATACATACCTCGGATATCTCGAAATTGAAAATTTCACAAGGCGCCAGCTGGTAGAGTTATCTGCCGTATGAGACGTACGGAAAACACCTTTGGCCGCATTTTCTACCTGTTTAGTGCGTTATGAAATCTAATCTTGATGTTATGCTTACCTACGTTTCTACGTAACGAATGAATTGATGGCGTGCTCCACGCATACATACATACGCATACATACGTGCGGACGAGTTCGGGGGTTTTTTCTGCATCTAAATATATCCGCGCGCACACACACACGCACGCACACCTCGCGAGAAGAAATAACGGCAGGTAAATGGTAGGAGTTAGTGTGGATTCCAGGCGTTTTCGTGATACACACGTTCCCCGACCTTTTAAAAAGAAAGAGACACGTCTGGGAACCCCGAGTGCCTGATGATTCCACTTCAACTGGTTCACGCGAACGCGCGCGCGGCAGCCGCCATGGCGCTGTTCAAGAGGGGGAGAGCGATGGTATGGGTATGGGACGCGTTTATAAATGCCTTTTTAAATTTTCGCCTGGGGACGGCGACTTTTAATTTTTTGGTAGCCGTCGTCGAGTCCTAATCTCTCTCTCCCCCATCATTCTTCTCTCACCTTGCGCTCAGACTTAACAGATATCAATTAACAATTTAATTCTGCCGATAAAACTGTTGCAACGGGAGCTTTCAATTCGATGTAATATTGCACGAGTAGCGTGAAACACGTGGAAAGTTTGATTTTCTCTTCGGGATTCCTCGTGACGCAGAGTCGCCAAGGGAATAACACGCCATGGGTTACGGCAGTTGTTTCACCTTCCGCGAGTAGTCCCGCGAAATGCTGGAAAGAACCGACGACAATAATCGGTACAGCAGGAGTACGTTCCCTCGAAGGAATCCGCGATTCGGCTAATTGGCAGGCGCAGGTTCGCGTGCGATCAGCCATCGGCCCCTCTCGCTTCTCTCGTCGGTCTCCGCTGACGACAAAATGCAATAGCATACGTCAATGTAATAACGTCAGGAAAATGTGTCGTGCGTAAACGGCAAAGGGAAAGGCGTTACGTTACTTTCGAAGTAAGAGCCCCCCTCGCGCGCGCTTTCATTATTACACGACTGTCAGCGTCACCGCCGTCATCATCGTCATCATCATCATTATCACCACCTTCTTCAACGTCGCCGTTATCCTTCTCCTTCCCTGCTCCTGAACTGGACTGCATTAGACAGAAGCAGACGGTAAATTAGCCGAGGATAGTGTTCTGCGAAGCAACGAGCAACCGCCGGCCTTTCCGCTTTTTCCGCTATAGGTAGGCATACCGGTGTGACGTCGATCTTTGTGGTGGATAGCGACTTAACATCCATGTTTAAGGGAACAGCCGGCGGCGAGATTGAGCTCGTGACGTTCGCCGAGAGGGAGTCGGTGACGTCAAAGAGGAGGCTATCTTATCCTCGAGGAAGAAGGAGCCGGCCGCCGCGTGCGCGAGCTAAGAATCTCTCCTCCTGGGGCCCCGGCCCCGACCGAGGGGCTGCACGAGGCACAGATGAAGAGAGGGGGGATTAGTCACTTCACAATATTATACTGGCACGCGCAAGCCCCCGTTAAAGTGGGGCAACAACACCCACGTGCGCTTCCACGGGCAGGATAAAAAGTCCTTCGGGGATCAAGAAATATTCAGTTTTGAGCAAACCATTAAGCGAGACGATCAGACAACGGAGAAGAAACGACTTCTCGCGCTAACGAAGCCGAGAGCCCAAGGAGTGCGTGAACCTGGTGGCCGATACACGCACGCACGCACACACGTCGGGGTCTGCCAAAGAACCGGAGGAATTCGTGGGGACAGTCCGAGTCGAGTCAGCTCGTCGAGCTTCGACTGACGAATCGTCACAGACAATCATTCGGCATTACGAGGAGCGGTCAAGCCGGCCAAGACACTTAGAATTTACGTCACACGGTCGAACGGTTAGACCGTTCTCAAAAATTTCAGAAGCAAACGCTACGTCATCCTTGAGCATCTCGCCGTGATACACACTGTATGTCGACGGTGTACCTCGAACTTCAAAGGGAACTCGATAGTTCTTGCTCTTTGAGTACGACCTACCTTCGGCGTTAATAGGGATACCCGGAGAAGAAACACCGACCGACAACTAAGGGCTCAAGGAGGTGAGTCTCTTTGAAGTGGCTTCGTACTGTAATCGTCGATCGTGCTTGTGATCGCTCGGCCTGCGTTCTTTATATCAAGAATCGCGCGACGAACAATCCGCGAGAGTCTGATTTACGAGCGCTCTTCTGGATCAAGATCGACAGACAATGAGTATGTCCAGTACCAGACTATGTCTGACTATTCTTCTCATTTGTGTCATTGTCGACACGCTCGAAGGTAGCAGCTGGAGGCGACATCATGGTCATCATTCTAAACCGCAATATCACGGTTTCAAGAACCCGATGTCGCTGGATTTATTAGCGAAACTCTCAAGGAACAACGAAGATCACTCGAGACATCACGATACCTATCGACAGAAAGAGAGGCGCGATTACCTGGAGGCTCAAGTGAATTCATTTCCAAGCTTGGAGTACGAAAATGCGGATGAGGTGCAAATTCCGGTAATTCATCGACGCCGGGAAGTTCCAAAGGACTTTCGCCAAGAGTCCCTGCAAATGAGGGAGGCAGATACAAGGAGCAAACACGAGGACGGTGTCAGGGCAACGCAGCACGTCAGGCACGGTAGCTACCTGGAGGATCAGCCGGCTTCGTTCTCAAGCTCGGAATACGAAGACGTGGAGGAGCAAACGCCGGTGGTTCATCGACGCCGGCAAGCCAGACAGCGTGGTAGCGACCGCACGAGCCTGCTGAAGGCTCTGCACGAGAAGAGCTTGAACGAGCTTTACGAGCTTGAAGTTCGAGAGGTGCAGAACAATTCTGTCTGCAGCTACACCGTAGTGCCGATACCCGACCCCACGGGTTCCAGAATACCGAAAGTGCTGGAGGAGGTCAAGTGCAATCACGCCGGCAGCAGCTGCCTCGGCACCGACGCCCACTGCTGCATACAGACGTATAAGAACATCGAAGTGTCGTACGGCGGCAAGAGGAACACCATAAAGCTCTACGTGGGCTGCGTGTGTGCTCGCGAGGTGCTGCTGAAGGCGTCGCAGTTACCCATCAACAACTGATACCGAGGATTCGAGGGACATCCAAGAACGCGCTGCGGTTCGATAATAATAATAACGATAATAACGAGGAGGACGATGATGAGGCAGAAATAACAAGCGGATGAAATAGTTGAATGATTAGTAGCTTAGTGATTATCTGTGGGTGAGGATATCGGAATATTTTCTTACAGATTCTTGATAGATCCAAGAGAATATATCAATCAGGAATAATAATTGTGAAGTGCTCATTGAGCTGCTATCTCTGCCGAACACAACCAGTGACGACTGCCATTGAACGTTGAAATGGCACGAATGAAAAACGAATATACTGTCGAATATTCGACACTGGTCTCGTGGAGGACGGATCTCGTGCCGAATCGGTACGGTGATAATTTCACATAGAGCGGACGTCCAGACGTTGTCTCAGCGGACGACGACGACGACGACGACGAGCGACAGCGATTCGCGAGCCGCGTTGTTATTGCCGGCGAATAATTGCGATTGGCCATCCGTAAATAAACACATCTTTTTCTATTTTTTGCCATTTGCACCTGTGTGCGTGAGTGTGCTTAGGAACTGGCTTGAGGATTACGAGTTGTGACGCGCGTCCGATTTTTTTTCTGATGTTTGACGTTAGAAGAATGGGAGTGTTGTTCTGACTTTACGTAGGAATAGGTAATAACTAACAACTCTCGCATGTGTTTAGGTATTTATAGATCCTCTCGTACGTCCGCGTTTCTAAATATATGATATAAACGTATTATCGACAATTGATCAGGCAGGCAGGTAGCGCCAAGACCGATCGCAAGTTTCTGCCGACAACAACAACAACGCTCGAATGTAATTATCTCGCCCGCACGTTCATCACGTGTGTTTAAATCGATAGTCATCACACGAGAATGAATCACTAGCAACTTGTCGCGACCGCACATTATCTATTTATATTATTTATTTTACACACACACACACACACACATATATATATATATATATATATATAAAATTATATATATATATATAATTATATATATATAATTATATATATATATATATTATATATATATATATATATGTATTTATTATTATATTATCTCTATTTATTATTACATTTATTTATTGCATACACACTGCGCATCGCTTCATCTATTTATCTATTTATTTTGCCGCCATTTATTCATGTTATTTATTTATTTATTTATTTATCCATCCATCCATCATACGGATTTTTTTCACTTATGATTGTACTACGCGGCTACTTCGCGATCCATCGAAAGCGATCCTCTCTCGGGCGAAGTAGCGGCAAGTAGGAACTGACGTAGCGATAATCGCGGAAAACACACCTTTCATAGAATTTACATATGATAATTGGATGATAATGCGACGACGTCCGTGGTTCATCGACCAAAATGTATTACATATATGCAATTTAGTCTAAGATAGAAACTCTTAGACAATTCCTATATGATTTTTTCTTGTATCTAATACAGAAGAGATGAACAGTATTAATATGATAAATAATGATGCCACGGTATACAATTGTAAGAACCTAATGCCATATTAAGCGCGACTTTTTTACTTCCATAAGAAATTGTACAGCTCTGCGGAGAGACCAACAGTATTAAAATAAATTTTCTCTAATTTTAAGTTTCTTGCACTTATTTATCGCGTGAAAACTGTGATAATCGATTGTACTCCAAGTATCCAGATTCATAATTCCCCGATCCCTCAGAATCCAATGATGCGAGGACGCCAGAATCGCTTGCGAAAAGATCGGCTTATGCAAAGCAATTTTACAAGTATTACACTTGGAGAATATATCGTTTCATCTACAAATTTTCGGAAATTACCGTTAAATCTACGACGACGAAATTTTGAAGCAACTGTCCCACTAAATATTCGACATTGTACGATGTATGATTTCAATCTTTTTTTCGCTCTTTATGTCATTTTATCTATCTGTTGTCTTTATCGATCTTCCGTTACATAGAGAATAAATATATTACTGTGATTTAATATCGAGATATCTTTAAACAAGATTCAGAGATAACATATATAGTACTGCCGGAAAGTTTTTAGACAAGGTAAAAACATGATAAAAATCAAGACGGTTTTATTTTTTGAGATACATAAGGACACTTTCGCATATACATTCTGCAACTTTTTTTAAATAAACATAGTAACTTTCAACATTCGGTCAGATAACAAGAAATAACGTTCTTATTGTTTGGGTCTTTAAGTACGAATATTAAATTTTCAACATAGAGAAAATATGTATACAAATATTGAGTATGTACATATTAGATATACAAATAAATAATATAAATTTTTTTAAGCAGTTAAACAATAATTTTAAACTAAAAGAAATAAAAAAACTCTTCTTAAGTATCATCAATATTTAACATAAAAGGACAATAAGAGTTCAAACACAGGTTGAATAGTGCTATTAAAACTATAAAAAAATAGTGACCCAATCTCACCATGAGAAGAAATTTATTAATCAAACGCGTTTCGGTCTAATTTCGCAGACCCTCTTCAGTAATTACAAGTTGAAAACGAATTATATTAAAGTGTCACAAAATGTAAAAGTCGCAAAAATCGGTATTACAAAGGTTGTTACAAAAGTTGTCGCTGCAAGCGACAATGACTATTGTCTCAATGACTATTTGTAATTATTTACGTTGATGCTTCCGATTCCCGTAAGCAAAACTTGCAGCGACAACTTTTGTAACAACCTTTGTAATACCGATTTTTGCGACTTTTACATTTTGTGTCACTTTAATATAATTCGTTTTCAACTTGTAATCACTGAAGAGGGTCTGCGAAATTAGACCGAAACGCGTTTAATTAATAAATTTCTTCTCATGATGAGATTGGGTCACTATTTTCTGATAGTTTTAATAGCACTATTCTGTGCTTGAACTCTTATTGTTCTTTTACGTTAAATATTGATAATAATTTTAAAATTAATTATTTTTCCCGCTCTCTTGTGGTTATGTAGTGTTATCATATAAGGCCTGTTCTTTGTAGCTGCACTGTTGAATTAGTGCAATAAGTTAGAATGAGAAAACGTATATTTGTCTCATTTCAATTACACCAGTTCAACAGTGCAGCTACAAAGAACAGGCCTAGTTATTCAAAGTAAAATTAGTTCGGCGGAAGGTTCAAAAACTGAGAAACCGAATAACCTTAAAAAATATCTAGTAAATGAAATATAAAAAATGGCACAGATAAGATACATATCCGAAGTTGTACGAATTTCAGTAAAATATCTTTACAAAGAGTCTGTCTCGATAAAGGTGTTGTATCGTACAATGTGTGTGTGCATTTTGGTTTAAGCGATTTAAAGGCGGCGATTTCAATCTAATCGATAAACAAAGTTCTGGAGGCCTTCGGAAGTGTGACAACGATGATCTAGAGGAACTGTTCGCTGAGAATTCGGCACAAACGCAAAAAGAACTTGCAGAGCAGTTGGGAGTAATGCAGCAAATCATTTCCAAACGCCTACACAAGATAGAAAAGATCCAAAAAAAGGAAAATGGATTCCGCATGAACTCTAAAATGAACTGAAGTCTAAAAATCATCGAGTAGCAGCGTGTTTTTTTTATTCTCAATAAGCAGCGTAGAAAGTCTTTCTTGTGGAAAATCGTTACGGGCGATGAAAAATGGATACTCTATGACAATCCAAAACCCCAAAAGTCATGAGTAAACCGGTGAGCCATCAACATCGGTCGCAAACGCTCCGAAAAGAAGGTTTTACTCTGCATTTGGTGGGGTATCAAGGGCGTGATTTATTATGAGTTGTTGGAACCGGGTGAAACAGTTACTACGGACTGCTACCAACGCCAATTAATCCGTTTGGGTCAGGAATTGGAACGCAAACTTGCCTATATATCGGTAAAGGAAGGAGTCCTGTAAAATTGCTGCGTGACAATACCAGACTACACATTACTTCTACGACAAAAGATACCATAATGAAACTTAGCTAGGACGTCTTGCGACATATTCATCATATATTGCTACTTCCAATTATCACTTCCGGTTGATGCAACACGCCTTGTGCGATTTGCACTTTCAATCAGTGGATAAGATTCGAAAATGGCTTGATAACTTTATTGTGTCTAAAGACATAGCATTTTTCCGAGATAGAATCCATAAGCTGCCCGAAAGATGGATTAAAGTTATGGAAAGCAGCGGCGACTACTTTGATTAAAAAATTTGTTTTTTTCTTTTTTAAATATAAATCTTGAATTTAACCGAAAAATTTAGATTATTTATTTATACACTTAGGTTGCATTCCAAAACGTCCTTTCCGAGGAAAATTTTACTCTTAAGTCTATAGTATATGTAACATGAACCATAGATTTAAGAGTAAAATTTTCCTCGAAAAAAATGTTTTAGAATGTAACTTTAATGTATTCTATGTTGAACATTTAAATATTCGCATTTAAAGACCCAACCAATAAGAATGTCCGGAGTTACACAGAAAAAACAATTCCAGTGTAGCTGATTTTTCTGTTATTAGGTGGTAAACTTAGTTCCAGCGGCTCACAGTTAGATGACGTTAGTTGTAGGTGTAATTTATTTTGACATCTGAAATTGGCTGCATTTTAGAGGTTAGACATTTGTCAATAAAATTCAGTGCGAAAAGATTCATTTAAGCGAGCAGTGCTATTTTTTCTTTTGATTAAATATGGAACGTGATAAGCTGTTTTTTCGACATGTGCTGTTTCATTACTTTGACTTGAAAAAAACTGCAGCTGCAGCTCATAAATTGCTTTTCGAAGCTTATGGCAATTATGCTCCATCGGAAAGAACATGCCAAGTATGGTTTCAGCGATTTAAGAGTGGTGATTTTGATGTCAATGATAAAGAACGCTCAGGCCAACCGAAAAAGTTTGAAGACACCGATTTGCAGGCATTATTGGACGAAAACTCTACTCAAACGCTCCAAGAATTGTCTGCAGCATTAAATGTTACTCCGATGGCTGTTTCCAAACGTCTACATGCAATGGGAAAAATTCAAAAGGAGGGAAAATGGGTACCACACGAATTAACCGCAAATGCCATTGCGAATCGCTTAAACATCTCTATTTCTCTGCTCGCCAGGCAGAAAAAGAAGAGTTTTTTGTGGCGCATAGTGACTGGCGATGAAAAATGGATATACTTCGATAATCCTAAACGAAGAAAATCATGGGTAGACCCTGGCCAACCATCGACATCCACACCAAAGAGAAATATTCATGGCCACAAAGCAATGCTTTGCATTTGGTGGGATATGCACGGCGTCGTTTATTATGAGCTACTCAGACCGAACGAAAGTATCACGGGGGATCGATATCAATCACAATTAAACCGTCTGAATGAAGCATTGTTGGAAAAAAGGCCAGCAGTAGCCAGCAATCGACGTAAAGTCATGCTTTTGCACGACAACGCTCGACCACACGTTGCCAAAGCCGTCAAAGAAACACTGATGCAGCTCGAGTGGGAAGTTCTCCCGCACCCAGCGTATTCACCAGACTTAGCTCCTTCGGACTATTACTTGTTCCGGTCGATGCAGCACGGCTTGGTGGATACACACTTCAGAAATTACGAGGATGTGCGAAAATGGATCGACGAATGGATTGCATCAAAAGACCAATCGTTTTATCGTCGCGGAATCTACGCGTTGCCCGAAAAATGGGAAAAATGTATAGCTAGCGAGGGAAAATACTTCGATTAATGTATTTTTTGCTTTTGATGTCGAAATAAATGAGTTTTTTAAACAAAAAAACCGCAGGAACTAAGTTTACCACTTAATACCTCGGAATCAGACGAAAACTCGGAACAGAAAGATTCCTGTGGAAGGTTTCTACTTTGCCAACTGTTCTCAGTTATCTCAACTGAGTTTTAATGCAATTGAATGTTCAAACAAATGTTTTCAGTCACGGTAGAAAGATATCATATTGTCTCATATCATGTCATTTCTCGTCAGCGAGTTTTTCGTCTGGTCCCCATCCAGTTACATGAATTGAAATTTCTCTACCGTGTAGGATGTACGTGTCCAGGCATTGGTGCTTCTACGTCACAGGAAGTCACGTAATTCCGGCCGAAACATTTCGAGTCCATGACTGTATCCTATCCTCTTCACTTGATGACTCGATTTGATTCTTTTTATTCATGTTTACAGGAACAAGATTCTGATCGATGAGATCAACAAGCGCGTCTCGCCGCATCTTCCAGGAAGGCGTTTCGCGAACTATCGACGCCGCCGCCGCCACCACCGCCGCTGTCAGAAAGGCACGAATAGACCAGGGTCAACCAGGGTCGGTGTATGATGAATATATTCCTCCTTCTCCGGGTGAAATCTTCGATATTGCTCCACACTAGCGACTCTGACGTACTCGGATAGTGTCGTTGTACGACACGGTGATTCATGGCGAATTCCTCGTATACGCGCGTCTTCCGACGAGGGACTTCCCTGAATGGTCCCGGCCCGTGTGCGCACTCACACGAACCGTTCGGATCGCGGGGCCCCTGCGGCCTATCTGATATGCATGTATTGCAGCAATGCGTGCCGCGCGACATAATCGCGCGGCATCGCGACGCATCGAGAATGCAGGCTGATGGAGCGAGGAGAGAACGAGGCAGAGGCCGTGTGGAAGAGAGAAAAATGAGCGAGGGATCAAGGGAGATGAGACGAGGGCCCTGCCGTGACGACGAGGCAAGGGAAGCAGGTCGGTAACGGAAGACGTGCGATTTGAGATATTGCAAAAATTTCCGATGTGTCATCGCGCGGAAACGCTGAATTTTAACAGAAATCTTCCCGCGCCGGCTGACGTTCGCGACAAGGTACGACGTGCGATGACGGGGAGGGAAGGTGAAACCGCAAAAGAAGCAAAGTGGCAACTGAGAAAGGAGCCGCGGCTTTCATTTGGCGAGCCGGACCGGACGGGTACACGCCGGCATCAAACGGAGCACGTACAGTGTCTCGTACGACAGGTACCGAGAAGTAATGTTTTCCTCCTCCGGAGCTCGAACGCCCGGCCGCGGGATCGTTTCGGCAAAAATTCGGACGATTCGTAGTAACCGATGAATCAGCACGATGCGATTTCACAACTGACAACCTCGTGGAGATTTACGGTTTTTAATATGCCACACTTTAATACAACAAAGTCGCACACGCGCGTTTCAAATGAAATTAAAGCGGATGTAATCGCCGAAATAGTATCGACCGAAGTTTTGCGATTTAATGCAACTTCATTTATACGCATGTAGAAGGCGAAATTCTCCCTCGCTCCTCTCTTTCTTTCTTTCTTTCTTTCTTTCTCTCTTCTCTCTCTCTCTCTCTCTCTCTCTCTCTCTCTCTCTCTCTCTCGTGCGATGCAAAGTTTGCAAGTTTGTTCTAAGGAGCTGTTAACCTGTGGCAACCTGTTATTCTGCGTGTAGTATCGTCTCGCGTGCCAGACGTAAGTACCGAAATTAATCATCATTATCAACATTATAATTTAGGCTCGCGCGATGGCGTTTGCGTCGTAAACTGCGCTTTCGCAACTCGGAACTTTGTTTTTGGAACGGAAACGGCTCGGTAAAAACGACCGAGTCGGAGAAGGAAGGAAAGAACGACCGGTAGAATCTCACTTTTCGATCTTAGGGATTTTTACGAATCATTATGCTCCGACGGGTTACTAATTAATTCACCGTGTAATATCGACTCTAATAATTTCCCCGGGCGCGCAAATGAAAAAAATTTCACGATGCTGCGCGATGGTGAGCGCGGTTTTATTGACTAGGATATATTTACTAGAATATATTTACGTATACTCTTGAAGTATAACGATCGGGGCTCGCGACGGCAGAGCCGACGGTACATTTTACACCTTACCAAGATAATGAAGTGTAATCCTATATTTTCTTCGCAAGAATAGGAACGGTTTTTTGCGAGTTTTTTGCGAGGCGAACTTTTCCTACGGTGTAAGCGGCAGTTAACAATGGCTCGTCTCTTTTTCCTTTTCCCGCTCAAATTAATGAGCAAGAAAATATCAAGTTTTCGACAGATCCACAATTTTAATATAAACTTGCGATTACCCGGGGATGTAGCATTAGCTTCTTTTCACGTCATAGTCTTTTGCTTGTTCGAAAAGAGGAAAAGCGAGATATTAGAATGTACAGCACGACAAAAGAACCAAAGTATAAAGTTACCCCGAATGTTTAACAAATTTATGATATTTTATTTGAATTCCGCTAATTACGTATCACAGATGCAGACGGGCGATATTTCAGCGAACATTTCGTCTCGAGAAAGAGAGAGAAACAGAGGGGGAGAGAGAGAGAGGCCACAATGGAAGGCTCCGCGTACAATTCGCGATTTATGTACGCAGAAGAATGCGGCGTTATCACGTTGCAGTATCGTGCGTTTTCGGAGCGAAAATTAAAAAAGAAACGTTTTTATTAAAGCAAGTCTCTCCGGGCATTATTTATGGCAAGACTCATCGACAGGTCGAACGGGTTCGTCCCAGGACAATTCCGGCGCGTTATTTTTGTCGTACATTCTCTCGAAATGCTAATTTTGATATTCAAATAAAGACTGATTAAGAGTCTAAAAACTAATAGAGAGCCGTTATCGCAATGTTTTTATGCGTCCAGCCGAGCGCGGGCGGAGTGACCAGTGCGCGTTCCGTGCAATTAATTCGGCATAATGCAACTTTAATGCTTCTGCTTAAGATGATGCAGCGCGAGATACCTTGAAAAATCGACCGCGCAGCCGGTTTAACGATTCGCATTATAAGTCAGGAACGTTCCTTTGACATCTAGCAATCATTCGCATCCCGGCGCATCGGCAATCGTCAGAATCGTTGCTCGTCCACTGACATTTGCCGCGTAGACGTTGACGATTACGCAGAGCGCGGCTCGCCGAGATGTTGGCGGGTGATAAGGTATACACGTCGAGGGATCCCCGACTGTGGGATGCCGTGGTCTCTGTGATTTGCATGCTAAATTCATTCCGAAGGCCACGCGGGAGGTCGCGGAAAAGTATTACACATCGCAAGTAGGCCTGCGTTCGCACAATGCGCGGGTAATAACGATCCTTTACACGCGATAACGCAGGCTCACTGACATGACCGGCGAGTTCATATCGACGGTTCAAGCGTCCCGGCTAAGAGATCCGCGCCTGGTCTATCGCCTCCCAAGAATATATAGGGTGTCCGACGATAAGTGTCCTATCTCGTATATATGTAAATTAGGTCAAACGCGAAATTCCTCTATCATTTTGTAAACAACCATTTTTTACTATTATCGCTCAAAGAGGACGCGAATGATCATGCGCGATATGTCGGACGAATTATGATGATGACGTGCTTGTAGGCAGAGTTGGGTAGTAACTCGTTACTTGTAACGAAGTTACAGTTACATTTTTTCGATAACTGTAACTTAGTTACTTTTTTCCCATCTGTAACTGTAACTTAACTTAGTTACTTATTTTTAGTAAGTTGTAACTTTTTTAACAGTTACTTTAATAATTACTTGGGAAACGTAAAATAAAATTAAAATTATATAGTAATTGTATATTAATTTAATAAATTTATCAACGTATTTATGGAGCATGCGATTAAATTCTTTTACCTCTACAAGACTATTATTAAATTTTTGTTAAGTACAGATTTGAAATTTGTTAAATGGATAGACTAATTAATATGATAGATATTAATTATAAAATTCAATTCTTACATATTAGTAAAGCTTAAAATGTATGATTTTTGTATTTACAATAATAATTTACAATCATTTCAAGTAAGTAACTTAAAAGTAACGACTTCTTACTTTTTAAGTAACTGTAACGAGTTACAGTTACTTAACGAGTTAAAGTTAATTTTCATAGCCAGTAACTTGTAACTATAATTAATTACATTTTCAGCAGGAGGAACTGTAACTGTAACTAGTTACTTTTAAAAAATAACTTTCCCAATCCTGCTTGTAGATGAGGTAAAACTGAACAAAACTGTCATCTACAATTTTCAAATCAAACAACAAACAATCAAACAACCACGTAGATTTTTGAGTTATGGATTAAAGAAGATTTGGCGAATAATCGAGCGTGTGATAGTGCACCAATCTCCATCAAATTAATGACTCAAAACGTACTTGTCTGCAAAATAGTAGAGGGATTTGTTCAGTTTAACCTAATCTACATGTACACTAGGTATGGAACACTTATTGTCGGACACCCTGTAGGGTTTTTAAGCGGAGAATAAAGGTCTCCGGAGCGCGAAACAAATGAATGCCGATCAAATGAGATGAGGGAATAATCGCGCGCGCGCGCTCGAATAATTATTTAAACATAATCTTATTTGAATGGCGACCGCGAGGCATTCTGATCTACATACTAATGGAGAAACTTTTTCAAGAATTTCCCCGAGAAATTTCCATTTGATTTCGTCCCGGCCAAAATTAAATTGTCGCGACATCTTGCTTAATTTCGTAGCGCGCAAACAAGAGAGACAAAAAGGAAGGACTGCCACTCGTACTTTCGTGCCGTTTTTAATTTCTTTACAAATACATGGATTCTTTCGCGTTTGGACGGGGGGAATGGTGTTTTTGATATTAATTCTTTAGCCGGCGTTGTGTGCATGTGTCGTACACGGTTTACTGCCGCACGTCCGCCGGTAGGATTTAATTTCGCATTTTTTGTTATTGCTCGCATACCAGAAGTAGCATTCTTCTTCCTTTTTTCGCCCAGTATCTCATCGTTTTCTTCGTTTCTCACAGTTTCTTGATCCAATTAATGTCATCGTTCCATTCACCGATACGGAACAAGATCCCCGTGCCTGACGTCAAAACGCTCGATAATCCTGTCACGATATATCAATATATTATAAAAATCTCACGAAATCTTTCGCATGACAATGCAGAAATACACACGGTTGACGTCAGTGATAAAGAAATTCGATCGGTTCGCGGCTATGCCCGGTTAGATCGCGGGACGAAGATATCGATTAACGTCAAGAAGTCGAAATTTAAATCGAACAAGTCCGACGAATTTTAGAATCGGGACAATGCGTATAGGCGCGTGAGACGCGCACCTATATCATAAGATATCGCGAAATATCGCGCTCATCGTCATAACCGAGTAAAAGCCGCGAACTGAGCCACGCAGAGCTTCGGCCGGAGAAACTTGAAATTTTCGCGTGGATCTCTCATTTTAAATGCAGATCTCAACGACTCCTTTCCTCTTCCTTTCTTTTTCGCGATATTATCATCGATTTCTTAGATACCCGTATCTCGACTCGTCACGTAGAGATGGAAAAAAAGAAAGAATACAAACTCGACGCAATATAAACGCCGCGACAATTCCAAGGACACATTTGACGTATCCATCCAGCTAAACAGCCGGGACTTCAGTTCCGGCGACCCGGTCCTCGGATGCACGCACGCACGCACGCACGCACGCACGCACGCACGCACGTACTCTCGGTACGTACCCTCGAGCGGCCGTACTGAGAGTTGTGGCATTGCGGCGATAACGCGGATCATCGATAAATCGCCGGAACAAGCCGGGCGCGACGCGACGCGACGCGATTCGACCCGACGCGACGCGACGCGGACACGGAGCCGCGATTCCGCAGTCCTTTTTTTCGGGCAACGATACGGCTACGAGGGACAGAGGGTAGCAACCGACCCAGGCAAAGCTCAGTAGGACGTAATCGGCTGAAGGGGATTTCGTATTTATCGTATACACCCAAAGCTCGGGCGCGCGAGCGCGTATTTCGTTGCCGGCGCACACAGAGACGCGCGCGTGCTCGTCCGCGTGCGTGTCCACGTGCATGTGCATGTGGAAGGAAAGGTAGCGCGACGTCGAGAGAGGGTGGTACGTACGTATTTCGAAGACTATCAATCATTGGTAACCTGTAAAGGATCTAATTATCCTGGAGCTGACTGGGCTCCGTTCGCTGCACCCACCGCTCGTCTTGTCCACCCCCGTTGGTGGTGGCGCCTCCACCCTCCCGCCCTCCGATCCGTTTCCGACCCGTACCCGAGATCCCCCCCCCCTCCGTCTGTCTCTCTTGCTCTTTCTCTCTTTCTCCCTCTCTCGGGAGGCCCCCTTTTTCGCTCTAGCAACCACCCTTTTTCACAGAAGAGCAAGGCGGACGAAGACAGAGCGGCGGCGAAGGCGGAAGTGAGGGGTTGAGGGGGGTTGAACAGCCGGAGGGAAAGGGAGGAATTAGAGAGAGCGAGAGAGAGAGAGAAAGAGAGAGAAAAAGAGTATGCGAAAGCGCAAAGAGTGAGCTCCCACCTCGCAGAAAAAGAGAGACAGAAAGAGAGAGTGAGAAAGAGTGAGCAGAGCAAGAGAGAGAGAGAGAGGTAGAAAGAGAGAGAGGCGGCGGGTGTCGGTGCGCCGCCTTTTTTTCGTACACGCCAGCCCCGTGTCTGCCAGCGTGTGCGTGTATGTGTGTGTTTTCGTGTGCGTGTGTATACATGTGTTTGTGGACGTGTGTATGTGTGCGTACGTGTGGGGCAGGTGTATAATAGTGAGTGCGGGTAGTTGGTTAGGTGGCCCGGTCGATATATCAGGGCTCCGCTGCAGCTGTCTGTCAGGCTCGCGAACTCAGCGCTAGACGACGGGCTCGGGGTCTAGAGAAAAAAGCGACCGGCTCGTTTCCTCTCTCTCTCTGTCTCTCCCTCCCACCCGTCCAACCATCCTCCCTTTTCTTCCCCTTTCTCTCTGTTCCACGTTCACTCGTTCCTCGATCCTTCTCTCGTCCAGTCTGCTTCTCTCTCCTCTCTTTCTCTCTCTCTCTCTCACCCCTTTGCGCCCCCTCTCTCCGTCGCTCTACGTCGCTTGCTTTTTCCCTCTCTTTCGCTGCTTCTGGGGTAATTTTTCATCGTTGCAGCGGACGACAGAAGCGCCGCGACGGCGGAGGCGGCGTTGCCGCGAAACGTACACGAAGACGCGCGCGCGAGTGCGCGCGCGAACCGCACGGGGGTGATGGTACACCGATACACGCGATCCCGCGGAGTACAGTGCGCACGATATTGTCGGATATATCGTCGTGACGCTCTGAAAAATTTAGGAGAGCGAGGAGGAACGCGCGGCTCAGCCGAGTCCGTTCCTCCCTTAACCCTTCGCCCCTTCCGCCACCGCCACTGCCGTCACCGCTGCCGTCGAAGGTTTTCCGCAACTCTTTTTTTTTTATTCTTCATGAAAGAGGGAGCGAGAGAGAAAGAGAGAAAAAGAGAGAATTTTGTAGATTCCCGCAAACACGGGATCTGTCTATTCAATGTAGCGCTATACGTGCGAATAATTACAGGTTAGGTTAGAGCGGAGCGTCGTACCGCGGAAATACGATTCGATAAGGCGGCAGAAATGTATTCTGCGCAGAGTCCGCTAATTTCGTCGTGGGATAATTCCATTACCTCCCCTCAATGGCGGAAAGGCTGACCTTCGGTTTACCAGTACAGCAGCGAAAGAGACTCCATATACAAGTACGTGCCATCTCCGTTCCTTATTGCATTGTCATGCGCGTTTGCATCGGTGCTATATGATAGATGACTGTTAGGATTATCAAGGCACGTTTCCCTTATTGTGCAAATATTATCTCTGTTTCGTGAGACTAAATCGACGTGATTATTCTTGACCCGTTTTCGGCCATCTATATTGTCGAGACGTGAACGATGACTATAGAGGGTCAATTACGTCGTAAGAAAATGCGTGTTGGAGAGATTAATGAAAATGCATCGATTGCGCTTGCTTACGGCGTAAGCCGGCGGTAAACAATTCGATGGGATTAAACAGCGGTCTTAGCACGCGCGCGCGCTCGCGTATCTCTCGAAGTAACGTTTAGCGGAATTCCCGCGGCTCGTTCGATACCAAATGAGAGCAACGTCGTCTGAAATCTCTCAACCGTCTCTTTCCTTTTTCTCTCTTTCAACAGTGCGAAACGGTGCACGATGCAACCGCCATTACGGTACAAAATATCAAGTTCATTTTCGGTCGACCAAAAGCACGCCTTGATGCAACGCGCGACGGCATTTTATCGGCATAAACATCGCAGATAACGCGCCACAGTCGATCGTCGCGGAAACCGGAGTTAGAGTTTTTGTATTCTATTTTGATCGCTCGACGACGTGTTTGTTTGTGCGCTGGGAGTTCTCACATAAGAAGCGAAATGTCGCGGGCAAGAACCTTATGTTTACCGGCGCCCAATGACAATGGCAATGACAATGACAATGAAAGTCGTCGATGGACGACTCATCGAAATTATATACCGGTTCTCGCACCCTCGGCCCAAGGTAGCAGGGCGTTTTCCGCTGTCAATGAGGCGCACTGTACGCACACGGAAACCGCCGTAGCCACGTGGACCCACACAAGCGCGGAGAACCCGCGAAAAAAACTGTCCAAGGCGCACGCACACACACACACACACACACACACATACGCGCGCGCGCGCGCGCGTCCGCGATCATGCGCTAACGCATACACGGTGGGGGCGCGCTCGCGCACCCCACACGGGCAGTGCCCCACGAACACCCGCGAAAAATCCGCTCAATCACACCCTCACACGGCCACACCGCGTATCTGTCCACGTGCATCCATACGCGCCCTCACCCCCGAGCCCGCCAGCGTGTACGCGCGCTCGCGCAGAATACACGCACGCACACACATTCACACACACACACACACACACACATACGTACACACGAGAACGCTCGCGAAGATCCGGAGATGTGGATACACAGAGACAGACGCGGCAGTACGTAGGTAACCCCCTACGAGCCTCCTCTCTGCCCCCGCCGACCACCCCGCAGCCACCCCATCGCCTCTAGCCTCTACCACCTCATCCTCCTCCCGCGCCTCGTCCTCCTCGTCCTCCTCCTCCTCCTCCTCCTCCTC